ATAAAATTGCAAAGCTTGTTCTTATTTAGCATTTATGCAATGTGAGTTGACATTTCAATTTATATTTTGGGTTCAGTACAATACTGACAGCATTTGTGGTGAAATGCTGATTGAGATGAATTTATTTCAGAATCTAATAATTTATTTATAAAATACATAAACATGTTGATTGTGTTGTTATTTAAAAAAAAAGAAAGAAAGTTCGTTTTGATTTTTGCGGCATACAGTCAAATATTTCAGGGTGATACAATTGTACTAAAGAAGCTTCATTGACAGAAAGTCATGTGGTACAACCAGTAGTATACAGAAACATGCAGAAAAAAATAAAAATAAAGCAAAAATTTGTAGAGAAGGCCCCTTCAGACCCTTAAGACTGTGTTTCAATAAATTTCTTAAAATATATGATAATTTGACATGGAAAGGTCAGTTCTGGTGTAACATGTCATGTGGCATGACACCCTGAAACCTTATGAATTAGTAATTCACAAGATATTAGTTAAAATATATATATTTTTTTATCTTGAAAAATATATTCAATATCTTATTTCTTAAATAATGATTAAGGTCTGTTTACTTATGTATTTAAATAAATAATAATGCAATTTGTTTTGTTTTTATTTGACAGTTACACCACATGACATATTAGTATGTCATGACTCATTACATTTAAACATTTCTTAAAAATGTATGATGTGTTTCAAAAGATTTTTCCTTTTCTTTATCATGGACACAGTTTTTTGTCATTGACCTGAACCTGGACATATAATAAAATAATCATTTAAATATCAATGGCAATTTTTATATGTAGCACCATTCAAAATAAGATGAGTTGAAATTTCTAATCAACATTATTATGCCACAAAAACACTCAGATCCAACAGCACTGAAAAAAACAGCAAGGAATAACAAGCCGTGGATGAAGCTATCTTCACCCGCCGTCCAAATGGCAAACATAATGAGCTACAACATTGACATCCACATTACTCTGTTGCTTTTGTGATTTTCTCTCAGCACCTCTGCTGCTGTTAGTGGATATCTTCAGTGCATTCTCCTGTAATCCACTCATGCGGCAGCTACAGCCACTGCGTTTTCTCATAGGGAGATTGTATGCCGTTGTGTAACAGTGATAGTGTTGTTTATCTGGTAACCACACCTCTGAAAACTGTAGTAGCCAGCTAGGCAAAACCTAATTAGAGACGATTCATTCCCCACCATGCCAAATGGTTATGGCTGGTTTTCCAAAAATGAGTGACGCAACTTATGGTTGAGGCATTAATAACAGGAACAGATGGGTTTTATCTATCGCATCCATGTGAGCTCATTATTGCATCCAGGGATACAAGGTTCTTTTACAGCTCTTTATAATTAGCTGAGAGCATTGACACTTGTGCTAAAGTAGGATTTGTGATGACAGCTCGTTACAGATGTGAAGAATAGGAACAAGTAAATATTATAATGTTGTTTTAATGCAACAATTTCGGTCAGGCATAGCACAAGCAAGATTCTTCTAGACAGAAATGAGACTAAAGGAGAGCAAATTGAGATTGGAGATGTGTTCAAAAAAGATCTGAACAATGTTGTTCAGACCACAGAGTCTGAAATCAAAAGTCGGAGCTTTCAATGTGAACTCAAATATTTGTATCAAATTTTCCAAGCAAATCATCTCAGCTGTCCACATTCGTTTTCTTGCTTTTATTTATATATCAAAATCATCTCATTTGTCTGTTTTAATTCATATTTTCAGAGATAAACTACTTAAAGGGATAGTTCACCTAAAAAAGAAAATTCTGTTAACAATCCAAAATCCATAAGACTTTCATTCCTCTTCAAAACACAAATTAAGATGAAACCTGAGCAATTTTTGTCCCTCCATTGAAAGTCCATTCCACCAAAACTTTCACATATAAGCGCTGATCAATGAACACACACACAGAGCACACCAAATATGTGACCCTGGACCACAAAACCAGTCATAAAGGTCAATTTTTTGGAATTGAGATTTATACATCATCTGAAAGCATCTGAATAAATAAGCTTTCCGTTGATGTATGGTTTGTTAGGATAGGACGATATTTGGCCGAGATACAACTATTTGAAAATCTGGAATCTGAGGGTGCAAAAAAATCTAAATATTGAGATAATCGCCTTTAAAGTTATCCAAATGAAGTTCTTAGCAATGTATATTACTACTCAAAAATTAAGTTTTGATATATTTACGGTAGGAAATTTACAAAATACCTTCATGGAACATGATCTTTACTTAATATCCTAATGATTTTTGGCATAAAAGAAAAATCGATAATTTAGACCCATACAAAGTTTTTTTTTTACTATTGCTAAAATATACCCAAGCGACTTAAGACTGGTTTTGTGGTCCAGGGTCACATATGCTAATCAAAATCTCAACCTTAATTGCATGATGTTAAGAACAAACGTCTCAGGTTACTTATGTAACCATGGTTCCCTGAGTAGGGAACGAGACACTGAGTCCTCTAGGGGTCGCTATGGGGAATGCCTCGTCGTGACCCGTGTCTGAAGCATACATTGAAAAAACACCAGCTCGTTGGCCGGCGACAGCCATGACGTCACTACCGGTGCGACT